CCCTCGGGCAGAAAGAAGACAAATACTTTCTAATAAAAGTTATATGTCTATCAAGTCGCTGTTTCTGAAAACTAAAAGCTGTGTGATTGTAACTGGAATTTATGTACTGAAATACCTCTAACATTAAAAATACTGAAGGTTTCGGTTATAGGATTAACACATATTTTTAGCTGTCATTACAGATAAAAATCCTTTTGTAAATAAGCAAACTTTACTGAAATGGAAGTAGAAAATAATCTATACTTTGCTTGCAGTGAAAGACGTAAAAAAAAAAAAAAAAAAGGTACTTCGACAAATTTCAAAGATCATGTTTATCAAAAAGGTCGAAGAATCAGCTAACAGTAATGATCTACAGAACTGCTATTAATTAAAGGATTAGGTAGTTAAAATGTAGAACAATTACCAAACTTAAATTTTTTAAAATGTCCGGACCATTAGAACAAAAGAAAAAATCTGATGTGTACACCACATGACTTCCTCGTACGGAATATTAAATTATACGAATTTTTTCTTCCATTTCATTTAACCTTATTAGATTCAATAAATCTACTCGCGACCGGCATAAACCACAAAAAATGCATTCTTTAAAATTCAACTCTATTTTTTAACATAGCGCCTGGGCGCTGGTCACTAACCTAGAGTTTGTCATATTAAACTCAGAATGCCAAAATTTATATCATTAAAATTATCTAATGTTGTCAATGTCTATTCAAATACGATAAAAGCTAAGATGTATAAAAGAAATTAAGCAAACAAAACAAAAAAGAAACATTTTCCACAGACGATTGAGAATTTCTCATTCAATAATTCAGTTCTCACTTCGCGACTAGGCAAAAATACATAAAAAAAAAATAGATATTAAAATACGAAGCAATCTTAAACACTTTTCCTCAAAAAATTCCAGAAAGGATTAAGCATGATTTAATTCGCAATAATAAATCAAGGCGTTGTCTTTGTTGTTGCGAAGTTACGTTTCTCTAGATTGGCAACAAATTCACTACTCTCCTGTTTCAAATGTAAACAAGCAATGGCCGCCATTAGGCTTAGAGGCACTTAAACAACTTTAAAATTGTTGATAATTCTAAAAATATTGCATACAGATTTACTAGAGGCATAAAAACCTTAACCAAAAGATAAGAACAACATAATTCAATCATTTTTAAAGCAAAAATTGTACAATTTACAACATATAAAAGTAAAGAACTGAGATCACTGAGCCGCGTAACAGAGTGTATATATATAATAAATATATTTATCTACGTTGGCGCGACCATTGCAACAAATACGAGGTGCACATCTACATGTTTTATAAGTCCATATACAAAATGTCAACGTTCTGAGGCTACTCGTTTTGATTATGCGAGATACGTACGTACGTACATACGTTCGTACAGACGCCACGAAAATTCTCTTCAGAATTCATTTTAAGCAGTTTTATAATTTTTTGGAGGAAAGAGTCTTTATTCTGTCCTTACGTGCAGATCACGCAAAACATCGTTAAATGCATTCGATAGTGGTCAAAATGCATATTTCGTTGAAATATGCTGCCTGAAATTATTCGCGATTACAATACTTCCTTTTTACTTCGTACAAGGAAGTAAAAATAGTTAGAATCGATGTGATTTTAAAATATTTAAAAGCTATTTGGAATTAAAGGCAAGTTTATGCGATTAATGAAGCAAAAAAAAAATAAACCAGAAATTAATAAGTGCTGTGTTAACTTCAACAACGTGTTCTACATTGATAAAAATATAAAAATTTCGCAAGAAAAGAAGAGGACAAACTACCTTGCTGGTTTACATTAGCTCACATACGTCAGGTGATCTCTAAGGTCATCTACTTTGCTTTTTTTAATATGTTTATTATTTTGCATCTATTCCTAAATGACCAATATTTCCAGTATTGGCAAAAAAAAAAAAAAATTACGTGGCTCATACAGATCTTAAACTGGCTTTCGTTTACATAGGACTGAACGTCTCTTACAAAAAACGACGTACATGCTAATGAATTTTGTTAAATGTGTCATCTGGAGGAAATCGGGATTATTCTTTTATTAGTGATCACCAGACTCAAAGTGAATCCCAATCTCAACATTTTTGTCTTATCATATCACAATACGTACAAAAGAAGATGTACGTAAACATTATAGGTGTAACTAAACATTAAGATTGTTTCTCTTTAACCTTTCCTTAATTTTCCTGAAGCTTTCATTGAAACAGCAATCTTTAATGAAGTTCCATCTGTGCTTTTAACTTGCTAGTTTAAAGTTAAGAAATGTGATGTTGTAAAGTAAAGGAGAGGAATTTCAATCATATTTGGAAACTTTTTGCATTTTTCCGGTATCATGTTCATAAATTGTAAACTATGCAAATATTAGAATAGCCTTTTTTATCATTTCTTGCGGTTAGGCAAAGTTAAATCTAGAGCAGCGGTTCTCAACCTGCATGCTTTTGCTTAACGCATACCATCTAAACAAAAATTGCAAAATTTAGTAGCACCATTATGTCTTACAATGATTATTTTTAAATTTCTCAGTAGAAATATTAAAAAATATATATTTTGCTACTTGTAGAACCTATTGCCTATTTGTATTAAATATGCACTTATAAAAAATGTTAGATTAAAAAATTGGTTACCATTTTAATTATCAAAATTTATGTTTTAATACTTTAATTCTAAAATTTTGTGTGAAATTTGGCGTTCTTTAAGACTTATCAGTTTCTTTATTCTGGTCTTATTTCACTTAGTTTTAACCGGAAATTAGGGTCAACTAATTTTGTTCTGTATTTATTTTTCAAATATAACCTAAAAAAATATCCTTGTTCACACAAATACCGTGTGTAAAAAGGCAATAGAAATTTAATAGATTTATTTGAAATGCCTTTAAATTCTTTTTTTTTTCTGCTGAGCCAAAAGTTAACAAGTGCGTTATTTTTTAAATCTTCAATTAGAGTTCGATCGCAGGAAATTTCTATCAATTGTACTTTTTCTTCACGAGATAAAATTTCGGGTACATTTGAACACAATGGATTTTCTAATCCAATTTTCGTTTCATAATCCTTGATATTTCTTTTCAGAATCCTTGAGAAAATACACGTTAAAATTATTTATCAATAAAAAAACAATGATTTTTAATGTCGGATGCTAATTGTTTCTTTTATTTTCACCTAAAAGTGGTAAAAAGCCTAAAATATTACTATATATTTATTTGACTATTATTTCGAGTTTTTTTATACTGGCATTGATTGTATCTCTAATGGTAAACAAATTAACACTTTGTTATTTAATTCATTTACTTTTATAAAAATATCAACTAAATATGCTAAACGCGTCAACCATAATTCAGGAAATAAACATTTTTGCAATTCAAATTTTTAATCACAGAGGAAATTTGAATTTCTGATCGAACTTCAAAAAAAACCGATTTAAAATTTTGCCTCTGGATTACTTCGTAATTGCTAACCTTACTTCGAAATGTAACAAAAGCGTTTTATTGAAAATGAAAAGCTTTTGTTACATTTCGTTTGCCCATATTTTGGCAAAAATCATAAATATTCTAAATTTTAAAGCTTGGTACTAAATAAAATTAACAATTTTCACAACTTTATTCCAAACGATTTTCAGGTATTTGAGGATTATTTTGGCTACTAAAGCTTTACGATGAATGGACCAGGGAGTAAATCCAGTGTTCAGGTGAGACTTTTCTTTGCGTACCACCTCTTTGAGAAATAACACTGGAATATTTTTCTGTTAAAGCCCGAGCTCCATCACTGCCTACGGCAATTCACTCCCAATGAATGTCATTCTCAAACGCAAAATTGTCAATTGCTTTGAAACATTCATTTGCAATTGGTCCCTCATGAAGAGATTCACAAAATAAATACTTTTCGGCAATTCGTTTATCGAAAACGTATGTAAACTTTGAAAGGTATGTAAACTAGCAATTGAATAAGTTCGTTATATCATTATATCAGTATATATAACTAACGAGTTCGTTATATCAGTATATATAACTAATAAGTTCGTTATATCAGTATATATAACTATTAAGTTCGTTATATCAGTATTTTAATCCGATTGCAGTGCGAAACACTCAGTGCATGTTTTTCTTTTGAATAAGTTTCTCTTCAAAACGGCATTTTGCGTGGCTTCACTTTCAGCTTTGGTTTACTTTTCAATCTGTTGCCACCAAATATTATCGCCATGTATTATATTTAAGAAAGTAAATAATGAAGAATTTGCATGATTGCATGGATTACACTGTGAAAAAAAAGGTACCTAGCACCATCAAATTCTGAATAACATAGTCCTTCAACCGAACATGGAAGCCCGAATTTTGAATTTCGAATTTCTTTTATTATCTATTTCAAATATTAAGACACTAACAAATTTTTGATTAACAAACTCAACGATTTCAAAGCGACCATTAGCAAAACTGTCCGGAAAAAAATTACCTTCAGTGCGCGGGACTGTGTATCGGAAATTCTAAAGATATGCTGTTTTGCTCTTTTTTAATATTGTGTGATATTGCTGTTAAATTGAATTTTATGTGGTTTTAAGTACTAAGAAGCATGATATTAAATAAATAAAGGTAACACACAAAACGTTGAAAAAACACCCTTTTGGGCGTAATATAAAATCTGAAAGCTTTCAGATTTATTTTATATTTTTATTATTTGCTACTAAATACAACATCCACTTCTATTACTCCTTTTAAAAACATTACTTATGACAAAATTTTGTAATGTCTATGGCTAAAAGAATATTTATGAAAATAAAAACGGTTTGTTTTGCTGAAGTCTGTAAGCGGCTATTGACTTTGAACAAAGTTCAAATTATATGAAGCTACGAGTGTTAGAGAAAAAAACCTAAACAGGACATTAGGGTATTTAATTTTTTAATTTAATAGTTAAAAATACTTCGTTTTTTTGTTGTAGTGAATTCATATTAAAACTTGCCTTATATGCACAAATATTAAGTAGTTCTAACTAATCATTTAAAGTTAATACAAAAGTACATTGGCCAAGAAGCGTGCCACTTAAGAAATCGCTCGGGGGCGGGAGAGACGATGCTAAAAAAAGAGGACGGTAAAGAGGGCCGTAATTTCAGAGTAATAAAAAATGAAATATATTAAGCATTAAAATACCTTTGAAACATAAAGTTGTTTTTAAATATACTTATAAGAGAAACAAGAAGAGAAAAAAAAAAGGCGAAAACAGATGATTTTTATATAAAAACCTGAAATAGTTTGGACTAAATTTTTAAAATTACTATAAAATATATAGGTTGATTCGTCCCTGTATGCATGCGGGTTTAAATACCTGAAAAAGGAATTAGGAATAGGAACACGTGAAAGCTTGAAATGTAGACTGCAGAAAATAATTCACGCTTGTGTGCGCTAATATATAAAACGCTTATAAATATAGACTAATATATAAAAAAAGAAATAATAATTATTTTACTAAGTGTTTTGCAGACTTTTTAAATTTTTAAACATTGAAATTGTGATTTGTTTAATTTTAATTTTGTTCACTGCCCTTTTCCACCAATTTCTTTTGCATTTAAAGCATCATTTTTGTGTGTGTGGGTTTTTTTTCGCACACAACACAACGTCCCTTAGAAGACCCTACGAGATAATGTGTACAAAATTGTGACTGATGTCAACGAAGGCCAGTAACGCTATGAAATTTCTTATTCATTCAAAGTAAACATAAAGTTACTTCTCTTCGAGAGTTGAGAAGCGACAATACTCGAGCAGAGTTTTTATGCACATGTGCATCAGAGACGATTGTGTAACAGCTGCACCTTTTCAATAAATTCTTTTGCCACTTTTTTATTTCGAAACTAAGGTCATTAAGTCCTGAAATGTCGATCTTGTAAATCTGCAACTTCCATTCCTTTATTATACATTTTTATAAGATGTGGCTGAGTGATATCAGTTTTTTTGTTTTGTACTCGGCAAAAGCATTTGAGGTATTTAGAGGGTCATCGTATGAATAATTGTATGCTGTACATTCTAACTATATTGCCTTTCCAGCTGCATATGTATACTTTATCGTGGCTTTGGAAGTCAAATTTTCCTCTTTTGCTGCTTTGAAATGACCTTAGGAGATTCCAGGGAGCATTTTTCTGTTTCACTTTTATAACTGTTTCGGTTGCTCTAAAATCGGATCAGTCGGTCATCACTTTACGTGATGTAAAATAATTATCAAAGAATACTTGATACTTTTCAAGGTTACTATCCTGAGGCAAATGTTCCCGTAGAACTGCCTGATCTCAAAGGCAAATTTGAGTTTTCAGATCTTTTTGTTTTATATATATGTTCATTGCATATGCGTATCTACTTGCTGAACAAAGCATAAAGATTTTGTATCCTAAACGAATCGGTTTATCTTTGAGGAACATTAAGAAGAATGATGACCAAAGTAAGGGATAATTGACTTATCAGTACTTAAAATTTCATGGAATATCACAAACTGGCAAAAGTTCTTCATAAATGGGAAAACGTTTTACCACCTTTTCGCCACGAACTAGTATCGTATTATCAGCGATATGAAAGTAATTTTGTAACTTCTGAAATCTACTCCTAAGCGTAACTGAAGTAACAACTGGAATCATGTCTTCCTGTATGCTTCAATATAAATATTTGCCTGTTATATTACAATATCTGATACATAAGCGTAATAAAAAAACTGAATTATATCCATTTCATCAATATCCAATGGCTCATTTTTCTAATAATCTATTAGTACAAATTCGTAAAAAAATTGAGTAGGAGATAGAGTAACTATCTCTTGGAAAATTTGGCAAATATTTTCAATAGCTGCAGTTTCAATATTTTTCTGGAAAGCTGCACTTTCCTACAACAATACTTGATGTTTTCTCCTTTAAGAGGTAATCATTTTCACTCTTTATTTTCAATTTCAAGGAAAATCAGGATCATCCGTATATCCGATTGAATCCTCATCAGAAATGTTAATGAAAATTTCTGTTTGTCCTCACGCAGCTTCAGGAGAAATGCATTCGAAAGTATTTTCATTTATACCTTTTTCATCAGATATACATACACTTTCATCTGGAGGTAACTGGCAGACGTCAACAACAATTTCATTCGTATGATAAAGTCCTAAAATAGTCTAAAGCTTCTTTGACTGTTAAAAACTGCTTTGAACATGGCGTGTCTGGCACAGAGCAGTCTGTGTCAGAAATGCTGTGACAACGGAAAGTCTGCTTTGAAATAAAAAGAGATTTCCAGCTGCAGCAATAAACATTCGACATCCCATTCCCTACCCACTACAAACCCCTTTAAAGAGTGAGGATGCAGGAAAGACTAAACAAAAAAAAAAAAGGAACTTTTGGGTAATGTCGTATTGCTCCACATTCAACGACAATAGAAGTTTTAAACGTCATTTTTCTACAGGTTCAGCAAAATAATGCAGTTCAAAAAATCATGTCATTTTGTATTATGAAAGACATGTTCCCATTTGAGAACATGCAATTTTGTTTCCTTATGTCAAGCTTATTTTTCATCTGAATTCTCATAACTAATGTTTATTCATTAAAAAATATTGCTATTGTTATTATTCATTCATTTAAAACTTTTCATTTTTTTCCTATTTTGGAGAAATTTTTAAATAATGCAATGTGAAATAGGCAGAAAGAAATGTTTTCTATGAATTTCTATATATCAGAGAATTTATTTCTAGATCGTAACTTTCTTTCCAGAAATCCAGCATTCTTTTGATTACAAAGAGCAATTTTTATTAGGCAGTTTAAATAAAATGTTCTTTGATTGGATTTTAAACTTTGTATTTCCATTTGGGAACACTGTAAAAGGCTAATGCGAATATACGATCATATTTATTCAAATCATTTATATATTTATCACATTATTTATGTTGAAAATTAAAAAAATAAATAAATAAAATAATGTACAAAAGAAAAAAACTGAAAGCTGTAAGATTTTATATTACGCCTAAAGGACTTTTCTTAACGTTTTGTGCATTACATTTATTTATTAAATGTCATATTCTTCGCCCTTAAATTCTAAAATTCAATTCAACAAGAATATCACACAGTATTTAAAAAGATAACATCTTTAGAATATCCGATACACAGCCTCGTGCGCTGGAGGTAATAGTTTCTTCGTACAGTATTGAGTTTGTTAATCGAAAATTCGTTAAAAGCTTTCAAAATATTGCTGCGTTCTTACGGGTTCGTGGGTTTGATGACAACAGTTGGTGAAGAATGGAAACATAATTTATTAGGCAGTATTACTGAGGACAGCTCCAAAATCACGTTTACAGTCGTCGTAAAACTACGATAAACACGCTGAAACAATCAGCAACACAGCCTTCAGGCTAGGCTATAATGGTGAGATACAGCTTCACGACAAAGCACTAGAGTACAGCTCCCGACTTGGTTCGGTAGTCCTTGGAACTCAACGTACTCTCGAGACTCTTCACAATACAACTCGCGATCCACTTAACGATACACTCTCGCGATGCACTAACTCACGATACACTCGATAGGTTCCACAAGGACTTAGAAGAGAAAGGCTAGATCATAAATCTTTTCCCCCTGAAACAGGAAGTGAGAAGTGATGAAGAATGGGAAGTTCTTGATGACCCAAGCCACTCAGATCACAGATACATCGCACTTGAATTATCAGAAGAAATCCCCAACCTCAAATT